GGACAACAAGTAAAACCCTGGCTCTCTGAAAAATGTTTAAAATTAGCCAGGGATGGTGGTTCGTACTTGTCCCAGCAACTGGGGAGACTAAGGTGCAAGGATTGCTTGGGTTCACGAGTATAAGGTTAGGGTAAACGATTTTTCCATTGCACTCCTGCCCGGGCCACAGAGTGAGATGCTGTCTCAAAAAGAAAGAAAACGGTTGGCACAGTAGCTAATGCCTATAATCCCAGCACTTTGGGAGACCCCAGTGGGAGGATTGCTTGATCCAAGGAGCTTGAGACTAGCCTACGAATATAGTAAGACCTCGTCACTACAAAAAATTAGCTGGGCATGGATGGTGCATTCCTATGGTTCCAGCTACTTGGGAGGTTGAGGTGAAAGGATCCACCTGAGCCCAGGAGGTTGAGGCTGCACTGAGCCATGTTGTGCCACTGCACTCCAGTATGGGTGACAGAATGAGATCCCAACTCAAAAAAAAAATTTTTTTAAGTGTACAGGTAAGACTACAAACAGGATGATGATAAGGTGCAGCATTTAGGAAGTAAACTTTATATCCACTTCCTAGTCTATATATGCTCCCCTAGAATCACTGTTGCCAGTCATAAACTCTCCCAGCAAGAAGCCTGACTCCCTCAAAAGAAAATAACTAAAATACAAATGATTCTAGAAGATTATACTGTACTTTAGCTTGTAGTTGGCAAACACTTCACGCTCCCCCAACCCCCTTCTCTGGCAGAGAGCTTTCAGGTAGCTTTTGGCATGCCTTTTTTTTTTTTTTTTTTTTAATAAAGAAAAGGTTTCAGCCCAGAGCGGTGGCTCAAGCCTATAATCCCAGCACTTTGGGAGGCCAGGGTGAGAGGATTGCCTGAGCCCACAGGTTCGAGACCAGCCTGGGCAACATGGTGAGACCTCGTCTCTATAATAAATCAAAAAATTAGCTGGGTGTGGTAGCGTGCGCCTGCAGTTCCAGCTACTTGGAAGGCTGAGGCAGAAGGATCACCTGAGCCCAACAGATGGAGGCTGCAGTGGCCAGGAGCGTGCCACTGCACTCCAGCCTGGGCGACAGAGTGAGACTCCAACTCAAAAAAAAAAAAGAAAAGGTTTCTTTGGCTCATAGTTCCTGCATTCTGTATGAGAAGAATGCTGCCAGCATCTACTTCTGGTGAGGACCTCGGAGTTTTTAGTGATAGCAGAAAGAGAAAGGGGACCAGTGGAGTCAGTGGTGAGAGAGAGAGGAGGAAGTGCCAGGCTCTTAAATAACTATCTCTTACATGAACTAAAAGAGCAAGAGAGCATGTTACTTTTTAATCTGAGCAGATGAACAAGGGATTGTCTAACATTTGAAGAAAGCATTTAATGTGAAGAAGCTAAAGCAGACATATAAAAGGAATAAAGTAGATTTACACTGAAGGACATACGAGAGGGGACCCCAAAAAATCCGGAAATTATCTTTTGAAGGGCAGACCCTTTATAGTACACTCAGAATTTGTTCTCTGAATCAAATGGTCAACCATAGTTTTTATCTGACAGTTTTGAGAAGGTTGTGTCACGATTGTGAAAGAAGCATCCCAAGTTATGGTAAACAGGTGATTGGTTCTTCCACCATGACAAGGCTTTTTTGTTTCTCCTGATGAAAGTTCCCAAAGGGAAACGTTTTACAATGTGGCGGCGATGAAACAAAAAATGGTAAAAGCACTAAAAGGCATCCAAGTTGATGAGTTCAGAAACTGTTTTGAACAGTGGAAAAAGCATTTCAATGGGTGTATTGCATCAAATGAAGAGTACTTTGAAGGTGACGAAGTTTAAACATGGAAAAATAAATACACAATTTTTTAGAATTACTGGAGTTTTGGGAGTTCCACCTCATATAAAGTAGTCTACAGTAAACTAATGTGAAGAAGGAACAGTATTGAATGTTACAGTATGATTTTATTTCTAGTTATATACATACAGATAGCTCCTATTTTTTTATTTTTATTTTTTTTTTGCAGTTGGGGTCTCACTTCATTGCCCAGGCTGGAGTGCAGTGGCACACTCATAGTCACCCCAGTGTTGACTGGCTGGGCTCCCGTGATCCTTCCACCTTAGCCTTCCAAGTAACCAGAACTACAGGCATGCACTACCACTCCCAGCTAATTTTTTGATTTATTGTAGAGACATGGTCTCACCAAGTTACCTGGGCTAGTCTCTAACCCGGGGTCTCAGGCAGTCCACGCACCTTGGCCTCCCAAGGTGCTGGGATTACAGGCTGAGCCACCGAGCCTGGCCCTATATATATATATATTTATTTTTTTTAATGTTTTTTACTATATTCAGAATAATTAACTCTAGGAAGAAGAATTAAGGAACATTTACCTTCTATTATCTAGTCTTGTTTTAATTTGTTTTAAGTGAGCATGTTATAATGAAATTTTCTTGAAGGAGATTGTTTCTACTTAAAAAGTCAAAATATCAATTGTCTTCTCATTATTTTGCTGGTATTAAACCATATCAATTCAGTTAAGATTATGCCTTCACCATACCCTTTTGTTGTGCAGAGTGAAATCCACATGTCTGAAGAAGCTATACAGGATATATTGGAACAAACGGAATCAGACCCAGCGTTTCAGGCACTCTTTGATCTCTTTGACTATGGTAAGCAGACCATTCATTTCAAGGCAGTTAGAAGAAAAAAAATTCTCCAGAGCAAAGCAACATTCCCCAGAGCAGGAACTGAAAAAGTCCCTATTTTCATTATACTAAACATTATATGGATATGTAAAAGGAATTTTTGTTTTGTTTTTACTTTAAGAAGTTTGGCTATGAAAATGGAAAGCTGTGTGTGTGTGTGTGTGTGTGTGTGTGTGTGTGTGTGTGTGTGTGTGTGTGATGTTTGCCAGTCAACAGGGAATATGTTGAGCTCTACTACTACATGGATGTACTAAACACAGTGGTACACAGGAATACAAAAAGCTGGCCGTCATCCTCAATCTTATTATTTAGTGCAGTAGTTCTCTAAGTGTAGTCCCTCAAACCAGCAGTATCAACATTTTCTGAGAACTTGCTGAAAATGCAAATTATTAGACTTCACAGGAGATTCTGATGTAGGCTAAAGTTTAATAAGAACAACCAGTCTGGTGGGATAATCTTTGTACTTGTAAACAATATACAAACAACATTTTTTAAACCATTCACAAATCCATAAATAAAACCAAAGTTTAACATTTACTTGACCACTCACAAGCTGTATTAATTGATTATTTTTTTACTTTGGTCATTTAATTATTTCTCTTTTCCATTTTAACAGGTAAAACAAAGAATAATAAAAATTTATCACAAGGTATTTCCAGTCAGCCTATGGAAACCAATCCCAACATAGTCTTAGCAGATGAAACTAATCTAGCAGTTAAAGGTTCTTTTGAAACAGAAGAATCTGGTAAGAATTTTGTTAATATCATCAGCTTAAATCTTAATATTAGTCTCAGAATTAAGAGGCAGAAAATATTATTTAATTTGGAAGTTGTTCAGATTATCCTGTGGGTCATTTTTGTAATTTTGGTTTTCTTTCCATTAAAAAAAATTGCAAGTCCTTGGTACTTTGACTGAAAAGTGAGTTTTTGGTATTCATTCCTTTTTAATTTTATTTATCTTTTAAGAGACAGGATGTGGCTGGGCTTGGTGACTCAGCCTGTAATCCCAGCACTTTGGGAGGTGGAGGCGAGTGGATTGCCTGAGCCCACGGGTTCGAGACCCACCCGGGCAACTTGGTGAGACCTCATCTCTACAATAAATCAAAAATTAGCTGGACATGGTAGCGTGTGCCTGTAATTCCGACTGCTTAGAAGACTGAGGTGGAAGGATTGCCGGAGCTCAGCAGGTTAAGGCTGTGGTGGCTTTGAGCCATGCCACTGCACTCCAGTCTGGGTGACAGTGAGACTCCAACTCAAAAAAAAAAAGAGAGAGACAGGATGTTACTCTGCCCAGGTTGCAGTACAGTGGTATGATCGTAGCTCATGGAGCCTCGAACTCCTGGACTCAAGCAGTTCTGCCACTTCAGCTACCTGAGTAGTTAGGACTGCACATCACCATGCCTGGCTAATTTTTTAATGGAAACAAGGTCTCATTTTGTTGCCAGGTTGATTTCAAACTCCTGCCCTCAAGCAATTCTCCCACCTTGACTTCCCAAAGTGCTGGGATTATAGGTATAATTCCACACCTGGCCTCATTTCTTTATAATTCAATAAGTTCGTTTTTTGGTTTTTTTTTTTTAGTTAGAGTCTCACTCCATCGCCCAGGCTGGAGTGCAGTGGCATGCTCACGGCCACCCCTGCCTTCGAACTGCTGGGCTCAGGTAATCCTTCCACCTCAGCCTTCCAAGTAGCCAGAACTACAGGCACTCGCTACTATGCCCAGCTAATTTTTTGATTTATTATAGAAATGAGGTCTCACCCAGTTGCCCAGGCTGTTCTCGAACACATGGGCTCAGACAATCCTCTCACCTTGGCCTCCCAAAGTGCTGTGATTACAGACTTGACCACCGTGCCTGGCCTATAATGCAAAAAATTCTTAACATGCATAATATAGTATTAATAGTATTGGCCATGCCAGGCACAGTGACTCACACTTGTAATCTTCACATTTTGGGATGCCGGGACAGAAGGATTACTTGAGCCCAGGAGTTGGAGACCAACCTGGGCAACACAGTGAGTCCTTGTCTATTAAAAAAATAAAATTAGCCAGGCATGGTGACATGTACCTGTAGTCCCAGCTACTCAGAAGGCTAAAGTGAAAGGATCACTTGAGCCCAGGAAGCGTGGTGAGCTAGCATCTTACCACTGCACTCCAACCTGGGCAACAGTGAGACTCTGTCTCAAAAAAAAAAAAAAAAAATCTGCTAATAGTGTTAGCTAGTTGGTCACAAGGCTATAACATTTAAGTTAATTTTATTAAGGCACAAATTCAGATTTCTAACCTGTCAGCTTTGTGTGTGGTATCAGTCATTCAACCTGCTAAGGGAGTTTAGCTGACTGCTTCACATCTGTATCTCATTTGTCTAGGGGAGATTATATACTGTAGCAATGATCTTGAATTTGAGGATTTATTCCTACTGTGTCCACTGAGTCAGTTATTTTCAGTGCATATGACACATAATTTGCCTACAGTAACTACTTATTGAGTGAGGGAAAGCCATGAACAAGATCACTTTAGACATTTTTTAAAACAACTTAGTCTTGTGAAATATCACACATATGCACAGATACACAATAAAAATGTGTATAGCTCATTGAATGATTAAGTCCAGTCAGTCAAATCAAATACCCGTATAACTATCTCCCAAATAAAAATGCAGAACACCTCCAGTAACACAAAACCCTTTTTTGTGCTCCTTTCCAGTCACTACTCTCACCGTCTCTGCTCCCACAAGATATTCTGACTTCAAGATATTCTGACTTCTTGCTAAACTTTAGCCTTTTCAGTACCACCTCCATCTATTCTGTCTATAGCAAGCTATGCCAAGGTCATCTTTTCTGCTCACCTGTATTTAAATGTTATCACCCCCCCCCAAAAAAACCTAATGACTTTCAATTTCTCATCTTGTCTTCCAAAAACTAGTTGACTGTATTTCTCCTTTAAGTCTTCTGCCAACACCCAAGCCCAATCCTCCATTTCTTCTTAGGCTGAATTATAGTGGACTGACTATATGTTATGCCTAGAAGATTGTATTTCACCTAAGCTCCACCCTGTGCAAAATGAAATTTGAGATCCTCTTCCCACTTTACTAAGGAACTATGTCCCCTGAATGTATGTTGCCTAGACATAGTTTTCACTATTCTCTCCCAGTAAGGATGCAAATATGCTCTATACCCAATATCATTTTACAGGTGTCAGATTAAGAGGATTACAGTAATCCCCCCTTACCTGAGGGGTTATGTTCCAAACCTTCAGTGGGTGCCTGAAACTGGATAGTGGCAAAACCTATATATTACTTACTGTGTCTTTTTCCTATGCATACAATTGTGATAAAGTTTAATTTATAAATTAGGCACAGTAAGAAGTTAACAATAATAGCAAATATTAAAATAGGTTATAACTATATTGTAATAAAAGTTATGTGAATGTGGTTTTTCTCTCAAAATATCTTGTAGTGTACTGACCTATTTTCTGACTGTAGTTGACCACAGGTAACTGAAGCTACGGAATGCAAAACTACAGATAAGGAGGAGTCTACTGTATATAATAGCTGGCATATATTGTCTGGTTTTATTTTTCATGATGGTTCAAGTGAATTGTGAATGCTGTAAAAAACAGCGTATCAGTGCTGTGTTTTCTAGAACTCCCTTTTGTCTTTTTTTTTTTTTGCGTTGGAGTCTCACTCTATCGCCCAGACTGGAGTGCAGTGGCCGCTCCCGGCCACTGCAGCCCTCGACCTGCTGGGCTCCGGCGATCCATCCGCCTCAACCTTTCCAAGTAGCCGGAATTACAGGCATGCGCTACCATACCCGGCTGATTTTTTGATTTATTGTAGAGATGAGGTCTCGCTGCCCAGGCGGGTCTTGAACCACGGGCTCAGGCAATCCACTCACCTCAACCTCCCAAAGGCACGGGATTATAGGCTGAGCCACCAAGCCTGGCGGAATTTTTTTTTAATTTGGGTTTCTGTTTGTTTATAATTGGTGTAAAGAAATGCGATTGTCTTTTGCACATTTATTTTATATCCTGAGACTTTGCCGAAGGCCTTTATCAGTGTAAGGAAGTTTTTGATAGATTCTCTTGGGTTTTCAAGGTACATGACTGTGTCATCTGCAAAGAGCGATAATTTGACTTCCTCTTTTCCTATTTGGATACCCCTGATTGCCTTCTGTTCTCTGATTTCTCTAGCCAGGACTTCCAATACTATATTGAACAGGAGGGATGAGAGTGGGCATCCTTGTCTTGTTCCAGTTTTCAAGGGAAATGGTTCCAGTTTTTGTCCATTTAGGAGTATGCTGACTGTGATTTTCTTGTAGATGGCTTTGACTACTCTGTGGTATGTTCCCCGTATGCCTAGATGTTCAAGGATTTTTACCAAGAAGGGTGCTGGATTTTATCAAAAGCTTTTTCTGCATCTAATGATATAATCATGTGGTTTTTGTTTTGACATCTGTTTATGTATTTAATTACATTTATGGTTTTGTGAATGTTGAACCAGCCTTGCATCCCAGGGATGAAGCCTACTTGGTCATGATGGATGATTTTTGAGATGTGATGTTGAATCCGGTTTGTTAGGATCTTGTTGAGAATTTTAGCATCTATGCTCATCAAAGATATTGGCCTGTAGTTCTCTTTCATTGTTGGATCTTTACCTGGCTTGGGTATCAATGTGATGTTAGCTTCATAAAATGATTTGGGGAGGATTCCATCTTTCTCAAATGCCTGAAATACCTTCAGTAGGATTGGAATCAACTCCTCCTTAAATGTCTTGTAGAATTCTGCTGGAAAGCCATCTGGTCCAGGGCTTTTTTTTTGTAGGTAGTTTCT